AGAGTGCAAGATAAATAACCGAGCCGATAAGCTTCAAAGAGGTAAAGGAATATCCCTGGCACGTAAGAAAGGGTGTCCAAAGGAGATTACCAGATTGCGTAAAGAACATAAACTATAAGGGGGCACACCCCCTTATATAGATAGGAAATCCTCCATGATCACTAATACAAAAGAAAGTCCTTGGCGTCGCGAGCAGCCGCGATCTTTCCATCATGTTCCGCCAGGTTCCGTCGCGTGGCAACCTATCCCAATCATAACACAAAGGAAATCCTACAACGCAACCAAAGAAACCACAGCCGATATCTGCAACCAAAAGTCCAATGTTCCTCCACGTCCAGCACTCCGGGTGGCCGTGACATTAGAGCATGATCCTATTCTTCAGAGTATAGAAAACCATACAACCCAGAATTCCAGTATTCATTAGAGAAACCCTTAGAATCTGAGCAGGACTGCCACTGTATTCCTGAGACGGTAGGAAATTATTAAGCCCTATGCTTAGCTGTTGTCTGGAGTAAACTCTAGCTATTTTGAGTACAAACTCAAGGATTCATTCTAGCTATAGAGCCAGTACACATTAAGTTTCCAACTAAACAACCTTCTAAACTGTACATAATACTTGAGAGTAGTATGAAGAGAATCATAAAAAATGTAATAGTACACAGTTAGTAAATAGAATCCCATAGAACTCTATGATTTTTCGAACAAGGTAATAATTGCTCTACATGCCGATAGTATGCTAGATAGAAGCAGAGATAAGCAATTGCAAGATGAATGGAACTGTGAGTGAAGCCAGATAAGTCATTAGTAACTTCTATAACTAAAAATACAAAGAGAAAAGAAGTAGCCATTATAGAGATGGCTGATTATTTCAGTAACAGACAACCAAAAACAAAGGAAAACCATCATCTAAGCCAAGCAAAAGAGCTCATACTCTCTGTTCTAATATCATCTAACCTTCTTCTCCACATATCTTTCTATCTTTATAAGACCTACTCCTTCGCATCTTCCTATTAGAACTATGTTCATAAGAAGTAGGGGGAGATACAGAGGTGATAGAGGAGGTGATAGGTTCTTGAGTAGTAGTCCCCAGGATATGAAAACCCATAGCTATCAAGTGGTGGAGAATAGTACTACTGTGGATACCACTAGCAGTAGGATCAGGATTATAGTCAAGAGCAGACCTGATAGTCACAAAAAGGGCATCATCAAGAGTATGTAAAATGGCCTCAGTAACTGTTTTATGGAGAGTGGGAGTCAGGATGGTAGCAAGCATACCCTTAAGAGAGGAGTTGATGGTCTTGGTAATCTTTTTACTGAGACCCAAATTGATGGCAGTGAACTTCCAGTCCAGATCAGGTTCAATTATACTAAGCTTTATATTGAGTGTGGAATTGATAGTACTAGTAATCTTTTTATTGAGATCAGAATTGATAATAGCAACCTTTAAGTTAATGGTAGAATTGATAGTGCTCATGATATTTTGATCAACTTCACAATTGATCGTAGTAACCTTCAAGTTGAGGGCAGAATTAATAGTTTTAATAATTCCTTTGTTGAGATCAAAACAGATAATAGCAAGCTGGGATTTAAGATCAGGTTTGATCTCAGTAAGCTTCCTATCAAGAGCAGAACTGATCGTACTAGTAATCATTTCATGAAGACCAGAATTGATCATAGCAACCTTCAAGTTGATGGCAGAATTCATAGTGCTAATGATATTTTTGTCAAGTTCAAAATTGATAGTAGTGACCTTCAAGTCTAGGGTAGAATTGATAGTTCTGGTAATTACTTTGCTGAGATCAGAATTGATGGTAGCAAGCTTTTCTTCAAGATCAGGTTTAAGCTCAATAAGATTTTATCAAGAGCAGAACCAATAGTACCAGTGATTATTTTACAGAGATCAGAATTGTTCTCAAGGAGTAATACTTTGGTAGGTCCAAGCTTGTCATCCAGAGTAGAACTCAAGGTAGTTTCAGTATACTATCAAGAGCCAATTGGATAACAAAGCTGAACTGGGACCCCAGACTACCTCGGCCAAACAAGTAAGTACTAGTAGACTTAAGGACAAAGAGATAGAAACCAAAGACAACCATGAAAGCCTACCAAATTATAGCATAAGAAATTGCCTAATTTAACAATAGCCTAATAATAGCTGGGTATCTCTCAAGTGAAAAATCCTTCATTGTCTACCTACCACAAACTGTCTCGAAAGTACTCTTACTAGCTATAATAGCTACTTCTAGAAATACCTGTATGCAATTGCAGTTGCTCATGTGCTGGTAAGTAGAAATGTCAGTATATTATAATAGTGGGGGCAGAAGCAGATATTGATATACCTCTTCTTTGTTGGAGAAAGATTATGGTTTGAATCTAGCTCTCTATCATATGTAGCAAGCAGAGCCTGAGCATTCCTCTTCTCCAGAATCAGCTATTCTGGTTGATGCTAATTTAGTCTGTTGATCAGGGAGGAGGAAGATGTAATAAGAAAAATGCCTTTACTGATGGTAGTAGAAAAAAATGTGTTTTTTTAGTTAATAGATTGGAGGGGAGAAGGGAGGATAGTTGGGGAGGAGAGAAGATGGTTAGTGATACAGACATAATGTAATTTACAGGGAAGAGGCTTGGGACCCAAATCTGTCTTGGCGCCAAGCACGATTCCAGAACATATGGTACTGCACATCTATAATATGAACCATAGGTGGGTGTACCTGTAATACTTTATATAATTAGGGTTAAGAGTAACATAATTCCAAATACAGATTTGGGAGTATAGTAGTTCAAGTCCCATATAGGATATAGTTTTTCTCAAATTTGTATTCATGACTTATCACCTTTTATTTAATAAGTTTAATATTCTATCATTTCACTAATTTTAATTCATAATCCTCAATCATATAAGACTACTCTAGATACTGGCAGAGACCATGGACTCTAATCAGGGAACTAAATCAACCTCATATAGTGGTCAGAAACATGGCACAGTACTACATTAAACAAAATAGAAAATATTATACTAAAAAAATTAAAAGTAATATGACTTGAACTGCTGCACTCCAAAATATGCATTTGGGATTATATTACCCTTAATCCTAATCATGTAAAGCATTACAAGGTGCACCCACCCATGGTCCACATGACAGATGAGCAGCACCATACTCTAGTTTTGTGAAAAAACAGCATACCCTATTTTGATCTTGGTAAATCAAGTTTAAACTTTCCAGGATAATGCTAATCAAGAAACAAAAGAAGTATATGGCAGAAGCAATGCTGCAGAAAGTGATCACAAACTACAAGGAGAGTGATAAGGCATCTATTCAATTGTCTGCCAAAAAGTTTTGTGTCTTATACTCTATCTTACATAGGTGGCTAAAAGGAAGGCAATTATAGGTAGCAGGATATCAGCGGATGTACATATGGGTACAGTTCAGGGAAAAGGAGTAAGATTGCTTTTTAGGAGTTTTGAGTTAGGAGTAATTTTAGTTTACATCGCAACTAGGACACTTTTGAGAAAAAGAGAATCCACCACTCATAGAGTAAATAATATCAAAATACAAAATAAGAATCACTTAAGTTGAAGCCTTAATTCTATCTAAAAAGTTTTTCCCCTACATAAACTTAATAGGTTCAAATTAAGATTATCTATTAATATTATATATTAAGAAAGGTTATAAGACTGAGTAAGCAAAACTAATATGGATCTTAGTCTTTATTCCTAGACACTTATCATACGAAGACCCGCACGGTATGATACAACAACCTCTGGAGAGGATAAAACTATTACAGCTATAATACAACAGTATGAAGACTATACCGTTTACCATAAAAATGCTATCTTGATACTCCCCGATGAAAGCAAGATATGATACGGTACCATAGGGCTACACAACCCATATCACCACTCTCCACCATTCCCAGCCTCCCCCCCTCTAAAAAAAATATAAGTACACCGTACGAGTATGCGCAGAGCTCCACATCCAAGACTCCATTTATCTGTAAAAGTCCCTCAGAGAAAATTCCCAAGAAAACTTCGCTTTAGCACCAAGAGACCCTCACCCATTCCGCAGTTCGCTTCACTATCGTACAATGCAGTCAGGTTCCGAACGCCAAAGAGATCTTCGATATACTAACATAATCTCTGAGAAAAAATTTAAAAAAATACTCTAACAAAAGGTTTTTTTTTTTTACTGACAGAATCCAACGCTAATCGCCCTTACCTGCAGCTCACAAGCCGAGGGATCAGTCTCCAACTCCCGCCACGACAGATAAACAGACTAGATTTTATACACGAACTATCACTCCCCAACGAGTGGGCATCCATGAAAAAAAAAACCCCCTTCCCAGAAGAAAAGTCATGGACACAGGGATATTGGATAAGGGTCATTTAGTTGGCTAAATTTTGAGCTCTGGAGATAGCCCATGTAAGATATGCTCCGCAATTGGGTAGAAATTCGGGTCGCGGCTCCTCCCCCCAATCCCAAAATATTCCTCGTTCACAGCATCGCGGAGAAGTATACCAAAAACCCATAGCAATGCTTAGTAACCTGCGGCTGCCGGATCCTAAGCGTTTACCTAATATCACTAGCACTATGGCCAGCAGTCGGTACGCGAACAATACCGTATCCACAACTAGAACGATGCTGCACCAGTACGGCACTGCAGCACTTCGTAGCGCAACCGTCGCGTTACTTGTAGCTCGCTTCAAAGATCAGCCGTTGTGACTCATCATACAGCACGGGAGGCCCCTCCCCCAAGCTGCCGGCAATAGATATCTGGCTTTTGACTGGTCAGATTAGGTTTTAGTAGCTAACCCCTGTGCCCGTGTGATTACTCTACTCGAGTACGAACTTCCATTCAAGAAAATGTAGCACCACATCGGAACGCTAAGACGTTTATTCTCATCCCTCAGGCAGGATTAGCAAGGGCAATAATTTCCCGTATTCCACCCTTCTAATTAACCCATCAAGAACTGCGAAACACTATCTATTTATCTCTTCCTGCAATCCTGTTGAGGAAACCTTCAAGCACAGATCTCTTCAACCCCTCAGATTCGTCCACACCATCAATCAACCCCTTAACCATCACGATGCTCTCAGCTTCGTAACGCCTATAATGATCTTCAAGCTTCAACTCAAGGTAAAGGTCCTTGACCCTCCTCTCCGCAGCCGCATTCTTCTGACCATAATTGTCCTCCAAAAGCTTCCTCTGTTCGGGAGTCACAATTTCGAGGGCTTTGTTTACCAACCATCCGCACTTGTTGTCCATGATATCGGTACCAATCTTACCAATATAGTCGGGATTACCGTAACAATCAAGGAAGTCATCCTGAACCTGGAAGTATTCACCAAGGGGAATAAGAACATCGCGAGCGCGGTTCAGGTTATCTGGAGTGGCGACCCCAGCCTGATACATGGCAAGAGCAACTGGGAGGTAAAAGGAGTAAAAGGCGGTCTTGTAGCGAACAATGAAGTAGTACTTGTCGTAGTTAAAACGATTCAAGTCAATACTATCCTCGGGGGATGTAAGAAGGTCCACAAGCTGACCGAGTTCCGTTTTCCAGGTAACCTAAAAGGTCTTAGCATCATCGAGAATTAAAAGGTAGGAGAAATGGTTGTTCACATCATGGAAAAGCTCGACAAGGTCGATGTAGTAGTCGGTCCCTTTAAAATATTTCTTTAAAAGAACGTAGATCGATGATTCAAGGAGGAACGAGTCATTGATAGCAATGGACCCAACACCTTCCTAAAAGATCATGTCAGACCCTGACACGAAGGGGTCGTAGTAAGAGTTAGGGCGTTACCATCAGGTACCAGCAGGGGGAGCCCCGGCGTGTCTTGGAACTATCCATTATGTCGTCGGCAACGAGGAACATTGCTTGAAGCTTTACCGAAAAGAGGTTAATATAAATATCAAAAGGGAAGCGGGACAGGTAACCAACCATTTCAGTGCACCATCCGAGAATCGCGCCAAGCTTGTATTCTGCGAGGCTAAGGGTCTCTTTCCCAACGAGGAGACGGTAAGTGTCCGGAACGGTCATTCCACGGTTGTACTTTCCCCCAAGGGTGTTGTGGAGAAAGTTCTTCAACCAACATGTTCTTATTAGCAATTGAGATCACTCAACTGAATAGCAGCAAAAACAACAAGACCGAGCCGATCAATCGAACAAAGGGTAAAAAAAAAGAAGAAAAAAGATAACAAACCCTCTCAACCCACTGAATTGCATTCTCGGAAACCTGGGTCTTCCTAATCTCGGCAATCAATTCAGGGACAACGACATTAGTGAAGACTTCTTCGAACTGGGCACGTGTAGTAGCCATGTTTGTATCGAGCCTGAGGATTCCAGAGGGGAGAGAGTTGAAAGGGGGATAAAGGCCGTGAGGGTAGTAAACGCTATGGCAACCGGCAAAAGGAAACTGGTTGTCTTCGGGCGGAAGTTTACCGACTGCTTCGTCGATGGAATAGTAGAATCTGGAGGGAACCTTGTAGCTCTTATGTGAACAGGGAAGAAGGAAACGAAAGCGGAGGAGATCCGAGAGAAAGGGGGGAGAAATAGGGCGGTGTGGCGGCAGGGAGGGAAGGGAAGGAGCAGTGCAAGTACTCGTAGGGACGGCAGGGAGCGTGTTCCACTGGCTCTTGTGGCGGAGGAGTAGGGGCAAGAGGGAAAAGGGTACCGGCAAGGAGAAAGGGGGCCCGAGGGTGAAAGGGCCATTGCTGAAAATGCGCAGACCGTGACCAGTGCTACCGCTACCGGCATCTTGATCGAGATGGCTGTTCCCGTTCGCATTGGCACCGCTGCGCACTCCGCGATGTTGCGATCTCCCCTGGAGGAACTGGCGGAGCAGCACCATGAGGCTGGGGTCAGGGGAAAGGGGGAAGGGAAAAAAACAAAAAACCAGAGCGGAAACAAAGGGTTTGTTTCGATCAGAAGATGCGCGCCTCACCGGCAGGGGCACGTGATGGGGCGAGATTCCAGGAACGGACCAGCAACAAACCCACTTCCTGCCCTAACCCCCTGACGAACTCTCCGACGATATCATACCCTTTCCCACCAGAACACGACCTCACGCTTGAAGAGGATTGTCGAGAGGGATTCGGGACAAGTATCCACTATCCCAACTCTCCTGCCGGTACCGGTATTCTACAGGTATTCCTTCACCTTCCAGCATCCCTTACGCCACCGCTGCAGGGCCAACACACAGCGGATCACATCATATCAAAGGGGAGGAATCTGAAGCTTTGGCCTGGATTAGGGCAGCACGGGAAAAAACGAAAAAAGGAGGCCCATGTGTCACGATCGAAGGGAAACACACCGTAGGTGAGCAAACTGATGCCTTGCTGTCATCGCACAAACAAGAAATCATCAGAATAACCGCACCTTCTCATTCCCGGGCACCCCGCAATCGATTCTGACCGGGACTCTGCAGGAACCGGCTTGCATATCGATAAGCCTAACCCCAAACGCATCCCTCCCCCGCAACACAACCCCCCCCCACTACTCATCCGCTGTGCTACTCGCCCAACTAGACACACAATCAACCAGTCGGCACTTCCTCACGCCAGCCTTCCCCATCCGCTCCCCCGATTGCTACACCCGGGGTCCTAGTCCGCCATGGCTACGGAGGTCCCAGATCCGCACCAACTGCACGCAGCTCTGCAGACGGCAGTACTGAAATGTTCTGAACGATGCCTTTACCAGGCAGCGAAATGGTGAGCCGTATCCAATTGAGCCTTCACTTCGCCAGCTCCCGCTAACGCCTAATCGCAGGGCAGCAGAGGCCTTAACATCTATGCCACCCCTCGTTCCGCAGAACGATACACCTCTCCCGCAAACCTATCTCCATCCCACCTCCTCCCACGAGAAAGAAGCCATATTGCAAGCAGGCGAACTCCCAACATACTTATTATCGAAATCCTATTTTGATGTTCACGAATATGACCGTTCGTCCGCTGTTTTAGCGAACTGCAAGTCGTCCAAGTCACGCTTCCTGCACCTTTACGCACAATACATTGCCGGTGAGAAACGCCGCGACGAGGAGAGCGAAATGATCTTGGGGCCTCTGGATACAGCAGCTACGCAGAATCGTGAAGTACAGAGCATCCTATCAACTCTGGAAGCAATATTCACAGAGAAGGGGGACAACATCAATGAGGATGATTCTTGGCTGCTATATCTCTACGGAATCGTATTGCTGAAGCAAAAGAATGAGGACGAAGCTCGAGCATCATTTATCAAGAGTGTGAATCTATACCCGTACAATTGGTCGGCGTGGTTAGAGTTGGGCTCAACACTGGGAAACCTCGGAGATGTTCGTGTCGATCATCCCGCTCGCGAAGATTTATATATATCTGACGAAAGAAACAGCTAAACAACATCCTCCAATCCCTCCCAAACAACATCATGACAAACATCTTTGTCCTCTACTCGAACCAAGAACTATACCAAACCTCCGACCCAGTGCACGCTCAACTAGCCGACCTACAAACCATCTTTCCAACGTCTGCCTTCCTGAAAACACAACGCGCGCTCCTCTACTACCATGCCCGGGAATTCGACGAAGCAGAGACAATCTTCGACTCGATCGTGAAGGCAGACCCACACCGCCTCGATTGTCTAGACCACTACTCCAACATCCTATACGTAATGGAGCGAAGACCAAAGCTCGGCTTCATAGCCCAACTCGCTAGCGCAACTGACAAATTCCGGCCGGAAACCTGCTGTGTCGTAGGCAACTACTACTCTCTTAAGAGCGAACACGAAAAGGCCGTGATGTACTTCCGCCGCGCACTAACTCTCGACCGGGGCTTTCTTAGCGCATGGACATTGATGGGACACGAGTATGTTGAAATGAAGAATACACACGCAGCTATAGAAGCATATCGCCGCGCCGTCGGTACCTTTCCCCCCTTTCTCATCCCCCAATTAAGGCCTACCTAACCCAAGTATAAAAGACGTAAACCGCAAAGACTACCGTGCCTGGTACGGCCTCGGCCTCTCCTACGAAGTTCTAGAGATGCACTACTACGCTCTCTTCTACTTCCAACGCGCTGCTAGTCTCCGCCCCTACGATCCGCAAATGTGGCAAGCAATGGGCAGCTGCTTCGATCGAATGAACCGCCCCAGCGAGGCCATAAAAGCCTACAAACGTGCCCTCATATCCCCGACAAACACATCCCCGGACACGGCAGTGCTCCTACAGATCGGGCTCATGTTTGAGAAACTAAATAATCAGAAGGAGGCTGCTAGGTGGATGGAGATGTGCCTCAAGGAGGAGGACGAGAATTCCGGTGTTACGCAGGCGACGAGTAAAGCTAGGATGTGGCTAGCCAGATGGGAATTTGTCAACCAGAATTGGGCGAAGGCGGCCGAGTATGCCAATGAGCTCTGCCAGGATGGGCAGGAGATTGAAGAAGCAAAGGCGCTCGTGAGGGATCTGAGGAGTCGGATGGAGGTTGGGAAGATGTAATAGTTGGTAGCTGTAGTGCTTTCCTCGCCAAAATAGGGGGGGGGCTGTATTATAGACGTCGGCAGTTTAGCTATCATATTATAGTGGTAGAAAAGTTACTAGTAGGGTACTAGTTGTGTAGACAGACTACATTTTACCCAACATATCCACCGCCTCTACCGAAGTTCAATCCTCGACCTATGATCTCCCCCATATCCATTCTCATCATCCTCATCCTCATTGTCATCATCACTCTCATCATCATCATCATCATCATCATCATCATCATCATCATCCTCGTCCTCTTCCTCATCCTCAGCGCTCCCACTACTCTCCCCCTCCCCCACCCCCTCCCCCCTCCCAATCCTCCTACTAAACTCATCCTCCACCTCCACCACCTCCCCCTCCTCATCACCCTCCCCTTCCCCCTCCTCATCCCCTCCTTCCTCACTATCACCACCTCTCCCCACTCCCCTAACCCTCTCCAAAAACTCCCTCCGTCTCCGAATCCTCCTCAACCTCACCTCCTCTTCCCCCTCCCCCCCAGCGCCACCCCCAGTGGGATAAACCTTCTCGCCAACAACCCCAGCGCAAAACACAACCCGCGCCTCCGCAACCCCGAGTACCGAGCCGTCCTCGGATATTAATAGTTCACTACCGACAGCGCGGCGGTAGGTGCCTGAGTAGATTCTGTTGGAGAAGGATAGGAGGGGGTTTGGAGAGTCGAGGGAGAGGAGTTGGAATTGGGCGGTTGAGGGGGCTGTGGTTGTGGCGGTGGTGGTGGTAGTGGTGGAGGGGGGGGGGGTTGAGGAGGGGGGGAGGTTGGGATTGTTTGTGTGTGGGTTGCTGGAGGGGTGGGTTTGCGCGGGTGGGTTCGGCGGAAGGTGGAGGGAGAGATAGATTGTTTCGTGATCCGAGTCCGAGTCGGGGTCGGAGTCTTGGGCGGATGGAGTGGACATTGTGTTTGGATTGGCGCCCGCTGTTTTCTTGTTGGAGACGACTATGTAAGTTGGAAGGGGAGGAAGGAAATAAAAAAAAGAATGGAAGGCACTACGAGTACGAGTGGAGAGAAGAGAATTGGAGCAAGGGAAGTGGTTCGCCACGTTCGGATTAAATTTACAGCCCACCAGCCTATGATACCCCACTGGGAGCTCATTCACCCAAACTTTAAATCTCTCCGGAAAATTGTTTCTCCGACAGAATCCCAGCCCTACCACAACATCGTATTATCCACTCCACCCCCGCCACAGTCTAACACTACAGTACAGTGAAACCTCCGTTATCTCCAGGACGTGGGGAGACTGGACTCCCTGGAAGTAGAGGGGGGATGGAAAATAGAGGAAAGGCTTGGCAGAATAGAGGGCAGTGCTAAGAGAAAAATGAGTGAGAGTTCATGAAACCATATAGGGTTTAACTCCATATGTTTACACTCCAGAAAAATAATACACCCCTCCCATCTGATGACCCTTCATTCCAAAAACACACATATCCATTCAACTCACTATCTAGTTATCTGGCAATTTGTCTACAGCTTTGCCTGGAAGGTGACATGAAAAAGAATTTTATGCACATGAAACCTGGAATTTAGGAGCCATTTACCACCTGGAAAGAGGAACTAATAGAATCCTAGAACTTAGAGGAGGAAAGCCCATAGAACAAAACCTGTCCCCGACAAATGATAGAAATACCGGAGACCTGGAAACATCGGAGGGTGGAGTTATCGGAGGTTTCACTGTACGATCCACACAAAAACCCGACTTGGCTTATGGTGTTCTCCCAGTACGAGCACTTGTATCGCACCGTAGCACGTCGCACCTGAAAGGAGAAATTCCACGTTTTCAGAAAAGAGAAAAAGAAAGAAAGGAGAAAATTTCAAATAATATTCCCAAACTTCCTCCCAATCCTAACCCTTAACAAGAGAAGGGGGGGAAAGAAAAGAAAAGAAAAGAAATATGCCATCATAATATCATACCAAACGCCGTAGGAGTCCCAACTAACTGGCCAAACTAACTTACGTTATTACGAGATCCACGCACTCTTCCCCTTCCCCCATCCACTCCATCCATCCAGCAAGATGGCAAGTTATGGATGTACGAGTACACGGGACTACCCCCCCCCCCAAATCACTACCAGCAAACAAGCAAGCAAATAAGAGCACTTTCCGTATGATAAGGGTAAAGGAAAGGGAAAAGGCGAATAAAAGGCTATTATGGAGGCCAACTTCGGTTTTAAGAAAAAAAAACCCCCAATGACTAAATCCAGGTCGAGCAAAGAAGGAAGGGTGAGAGAGGAGAAAAAGTAAAAACAAGTCAAGTTAAAAGCCGTACAAGTACCCACAAGCAGAAGAAGAAAAATATGAAAAGAGAAGAAAAGGGATAATTTTGCCAACCAAGGGATGAAACGGCGCATGCCAGAACAAAAGAGAATGGGATAGAATGGCGGTCCTTCCTTCCCTCTTTATAATCCCGGTAGACCCCCGCCCTGCAAACTCTCGATTTGCATCCTCATAACGATATCGAGTAGCATACGATCCCTGGCTTCAGTGCTCGGGATAGTGCAATCACTCTCCCCTTCTTCCTCCCGTTCCGTTTGTTCCGCAACTTCGGTTTCAGCTCCATCCGTTGCCGCTTCCTGACGCTGGCTATCTGCATCCGGTGTTTGTGCCCACGAAGGATTCCCTTGACCGAGGCGAAAGCCCGGGTTCCTCGCGAGCGCAACGTTCCTATGACGGCCGGTGTGTCCTGCAGAGGCGAGGCCAGTGAACATGGGGGGGTACTCGTAAGAGTCTGCCTCATCGTCAGATAGGTCCGGGAGTCTTCCCTCTGCTCTAGAGCGCCGGAAACGCTGGTTCATCAGAGTTCTTGGCTCCCTCCTTCCGGAGTGGCCACGTGGGGAGGAAAATGTTGGTTGGGCTGCTGGGATCGCTGGTACAGGCCGAGTGCCTCTGGAAGAGCCAGCGGTGCCTGAAGAATTCTGAAGCGTCTCTAGAGCTTCCTCTTCTACCTGAACATGCGGACGCAATGCTATAAGCAAACGCTATATGTCCCAGCCACAGAAGAAGAAAACAAAACCAAAATATTAAAAAAGTAAAATCCAAGCCGCAGGGGAGTAGAGTAATAGACTTACACGTCTCAACTCCCTGCGGGTGTTCCTCAATAATTGGAACTCGGAAGCTAAGAGGTCAATACTAGTTTGCATGGCCCTCAACCGAGATTCACTATTCCCCAAAGCTGATGCGATACGGGCCTCCCCCTCTGTAGCCGTCCTACCCTGATTCTCAGGATTGCTCGCTTCATCCGCCGATGATAGTACAAAATCCTGCAATTCTCCGATCCTCCTAATCTGGTCCACCAGGTTGGCAAACGTAGTCTGATCCCTGGCAATCGCTGCAGCAGACGTCGAAGCCCCCGAAGCACTGGCGGCAGAAGAGGAGGAGCCAGCCGGAGGAGCAGAGGCAGCAGTGGCTGTGGAAGTGCCGCCGGAACCACTGCTACCACTCCCACCAGCGCCCCGCAGACCACCTATCGCAGAAGACCCCATAGTGCCGAGAATGCGGGCTCTCCCAGCCGGTGTATGATCGAACAAATTCCCAAGGCCCGAAGAATTCCAACTAGCCGGTGGGGGAGGTGGGGGCGGAGGTAAAGGAGCAGGAACAAAAAGAAAATCGCCAGTCCTGGTTCGGTCACTACCGTTACTATACTCGGCAGCCACCGTCCTTCGCCTAAGTCTCAATATTCCGTTCAGTTGCCTCTCACTGTCGTCACCGGACGCGGTCTCCCTCAAGAACTCTCCCAGGGTAAGCAACCCGAGACCATCCCCCGTTTCCGGCCATGAGCGGTTGTCCGTGCTGCCGTTGCCGCCGCTGTTGCTGTTGTTGTTATTGCTGTTTGACCGTTGTTGCGTCGTGGGGACATTTAAGAGAGAGGCCGACGAAGCTGAAGAAGAGGTAGAACTCGAAGAAAACGAGAACAACGGTTCCTGGGTCGCTGCCACGGAATCCAAGTTGGGATTGTTCTGGGCATTGGTCCTGCTAGACGCGGAATTTGGATCTAATCCCTTGGGTGGACTTGACCATACTAGGGGGTCCGAAAAAGAAAGACATTCAAGTCAGCAGTGCAGTTTGAAATACTTAACAGGACCGAGGAGAAAAGGGAGGGGTCAGATAAGGCCCGTCGGGGGAAACACTCACGGGGAATACCCATAGCCCTTGTACCTCGAGTGAATATTGCTTTGAGGAAGAGAAAGTGTGCTGGAAAAAAAGTGTGGGCTGCCTAGAAACTAACACGGAGATGTGTTCCAGGAAGTGACCTTTTTTTTTTTCCGTCGTTGTTCGGCGGGAAAAGAATGATGCGTTGATGAAGGGTTGGTGTTTTGTCTTGGTGACCTTGGGGGCCTAGAGAGGTGAGAGAGCGGGCTAATTCTATTCCTAATGCACAAACCGCATGGCATAAATTGCGGAAAAGCACAAGATGTGCGGTTGAGACGAGAAGAGAGAAGAGCGGAATGTGAGAGTCTGAGGAGGAGCTCATCTACTAGTACCCTACAAACGCTTCCCATCCTACCCAGTCCAATACCGTACGCTATGCAGCCCTGCACCGTGCCGTACCGATCCATCTCCAGCATCACCAAAACAACCTATGACACTGCATCTTGCAAAGTCATTAGCCCACAATCAAATCGCTAAGCCCTATTGACCCGACCCGTGCTTTTACTAATACCTCTATCATAAAAAGAAAACACTAGGAACCTATGCTAATCACTCCCAATACCCGTATATTCCAAAAGTTGCAATCCCCACTTCATAATATTATCATATCATACGTAAATCGCTTTTAAATCTGGCGCAATAACATACACTATTACGCCTATAGGAAGGCGATAGCAGACTAATAATGGGCTTCACAAGCCATCCCATCATACCGCAGTCCCACTCGCGGCAATCTATAGAACCCCAACCCCCGGATACTATCTGAAGGAGTAAGAAACGCCCCACGCCCGATCTAAAAGGGAATAGAAAAAGAGAAAGAAAAAAGTACAATTGTAAGAAAGGAAAAGGGAAACAAGGGGAAAAGGCCGTGGTCGCCATCTCACCCAATCGTAATTCGAAATACAAACATGAAAGTCTAACTTAATCATCTTCGACGGCCTGTGACTGGACAGAGCGGACCCCAGTCAACGGCCTTCCACCAACCTGACTGAAACTCGATCCCCTTCGACGCAATGCACGTAATTGCGCATCTCGAGCTTCTTTCTCTTGGAGCGACTCACTGGGCAGGAGAATCTTTGAGGGAATTAGTGAACGGAGCGGAATAAGGCGCAGGGTCAAAAAAAAAAAACGTACCGCGCGATCAAGCTCATACGGAAGACCTCTGTGCCTTCCACGGATTTGCATAGCAATGATAACCAGTTTTCCAATAACACCAAACTGGGCAGAGAAGGACGTGTTGGTGTTCGGATATCCCAAGCTTAAGCCAACGGTACCACTGCCAACCTGTCAGATATCAAAATGCTAATGTCTATGCCAAGGATACCTACTAAGCAGAAACTACCTCAAACAGAACCGCAAAAGCCGTGAACGCCTAGAAATTATCAGTATATGCGCAATGACTACACGGTCCGGTAATACTTACATAATCCTCGGTGTCTTGGATACGGGATCCCTCAGATATTGTAATAATAAAGAGACCCAAAAAGATATACCACAGGTCAAAAGACAACTGCTTCCTCAAATGGGCCCCCACAAAAGAGGCCTCCCTGCCGTTGTCCTCGTCATCCGTATTAGCGTAGATGCCAAGAGAGCTTTCCTCGTATACGTTGGTTCTTCGGACACTGATAGCGATCGGGAATACCGAAATATACATCATTACTACGCCATGTAAGCAGATAAACAAATGCGCAGAGAACCAGCAGCCACATACGCAGATAGCTAACTTGAACAGCGGGGTGCAGGTCCGCCATATTCACAACTGCCAAACCAGCCGTCCTCGTAGAAGCGGCTTGGAAAATGGCGCTCATTATCCTATCTCCTACTGGTATCCCGGTAACGTCGCCGTTGTTCAGGTCTAAGATTATGAAGAGAATAATATCGGCACCATTGAGGATAATAAGGATCCAGAATAGCATCCAAGTGGGCCCACTCGGGAATAGCAAAGTGAAGCAACGGCGAGGATGATCCAAAAGGAAGTTGAGCGATTCTTTATGTGAAGACCCTTGAGGGCAGAGTTTGAACATGACCCAAATGATCAATCTGAGCATGCAAGGAAAGGCCGTGTTTCCAATGATGATGAGGAAGGTCATGATAATGAGGACAAATGTGGCGGACTGGAAAGACACCATGGAATCCGGGGTGAGAGTAAACCCAAGGTCGTTGAAAGCAGTCTGCGCAGAGAATATAGCCCTTACGGACATTAGCATGAGGATTTCGAACGTGGCCCAGGCTCAAAACATACCACCATGTTGGATTCACGCCAACCGATCTCACATAATCCTTATAGCTATCCATGGCCCAGATCCAAGGTGTGAAGCAAACGACACCAAATACGTGAAAAAATAAATAGTAACCTATTGTACCTCAGCATAAACCCCACAAGGCAAAACCAACCAGATTTGACACATACCAACTAAGACTTTTGCCAGCAGCTTCAGACTCCTATACTCAATTCCACCCAACTCATCGCGCTCCTCATCCGATAAGTCCACAAACTGCGAATTCCTCCCCAAAGTAGGAGTATATGACAAGTAAGGCATATTCGGGGGTTCCTTGGCCGTCTTCTTTGACAATCTCGAGAATGGACTCGTGTTTCTCCGTTTTGGGTGCTGTCCCACAGAAAATGCAGAAGATATTACGCGTTCGACAGTAGCAGCACGTGGCAAGAACTGCTCAAGAGGAGGCAATCTCCGGTGGCGGACATTGTTTGACCCATTGACTCCATTGCCCAAACTGATCGTTCTTGAAGCAGGACTTCCGACATCATGGTTCCGTTCCCCCTCAGCTGCAGTTCTGCTGCGGTAGAGAGTGCCGATATCGTCCTCATCAATCTCCTGGGCCCTATAACCTAGTTCAAGTCAGCGGCGGTTGGTAAGATTGTGATCAGCATGTGCACAAACCTTTCTCGAACTCCCTCGGTCCGGGAATTCTGAGTGCTTTCCCAGGAGCATGATTCCTCTGCGCCCCGGCAAACGCGATATGAGGGCCAGCGAAAGCATTCATGCTACCCGATCCATCTCTGGTTGGCGACGGGAGATCCACGAATTGGATTCCAGTAGCTTCGCAATTTTGTTGCTGAGTACGAGGCCTGTTCTATATAAGCTTCCTTCTGATGTAGCGATCACCCGGCTATACAAGTGAGAACCGGAGCACACGTATCTCCTTTCGGTTGAACGGGGGATGAAAGTGCTTCATTTCTCACTCGCACTGGAAAAGTTAGGGCAAGCATACCCTTCAGTAGCAAACGAATCAATACCAGAACTATCACTTCCATGCACACCATCCGAGCTGCTCCTGCCCTGTAACGTTTGAGATCTGACACTCTCTGGGGCGATATCAGAATCCACACTGCGACGGCCAGGTCCGAGGGCCAATGATTGTTTGCTTAGATTTGATGGCGCCTCTGGCTCTGCGCGCACAATCGTGATTTCCCTTCCACGAACCCCCGTTTCTTCTCTCCCAGATTCCACATCATCATCAACAGCTCCTCTGGAAAGCGCAGACCTCGCTCTCGACGGCAGGCGGGTCAAAGAGACTGTATGGAAAAGTTTCAGCATCCACCAATCCAACAATAAAAAGAATGGTTCCGGGCTGGTCTCATACCGATATTCTCGAACCGCCTTTCAAACCAGTATAGACGCACGAATACCACAATGGTATTTATAAATATTGGGGTTGTAAGCATCGGTAGAAAGTATACCACAAGTTGTTGGTAGAGTTTTATAAGGTTGATATCAATTCTGAAAAAAGTTTCATCAGTACCACACATCTCATCATAAGTAATGACTCGCATGCACCAATGACCTCCCACACGAACGGAAACTCACGTATTCAGACCCGATTGTGTGGCTCCACCAGACGCAAAGAACAACGCATCAATGTACCGCATATTCTTGTATGGATAAAGAACGACGGAGCACATGATGGCCATCCCAACGATGTATGTATCTGTAGAAACCACGATAGCAATTAGAACAGGCCCGATTGTATTCCTCCGGACCCCTGCGATAAGATGAAGGGGGGAAAGCACGCACAATGTACAGTGATAAAATTGAAATGAGGCCTGAATTGCCATTTCTCCGGTAGTCCCATCGCAGTAGACTGTATCAGTTATTATTCCTATGACGAGCTCCTGGTTAGCAGAAAGGCTAGGGTCTCGGGATCCTTCGGTAATTCCGCAGAAGGTGGTTGCCTTGCCGTGTTAAAAAACGACAGCTAGCTATTCAACACCCACTTCGTCCTCACCCCTCAAAACGACAGAACCGATGGAACCTCCGGGTCGGAAGCTGCTCCTATCCCGAACACAGAGGGATTCTCTGGAATGCGAGTTGAAGGGCTCAGGATATATAAACGATTTGGGCAGGCAAGCGCTCGTGTAGGATCCAAGAAGTTGGACAGGCGAACAAAAAACGTGAGTGCCCCGCTGATCCCCGGTGCGACGTCGGACGACGAAGGAACGGGATATTATTGAGCAGCAGTGAAAATCGACATCGGGGCAAAAAAAAATTGGACCCAGACGGAATACAACACAGGAATTGAGTAGCCGTCGAGGGAGAATACGGGCAGGAGGTTAGGTGGCGGTCCTCCCTCGAATGGGTGGAGTAACAAAGAGAGGGCGAGGGCGAGGTTCAGGTAGGGTAGACTCAGGGCAAAGTCTCGAGACACCAGCTGAGCCCAGTCGATCGACCTCTGGCAGCAGAGTTGGCTCTCTTGTCGGGGTTTTTAAGGGTGGGCCGGATCAGACTTTTTCTCTCTTGAAAAAAAAACGGTAATACCATAATAATATTATCATCTTGCCCCCTTCCAACTACCCTCCATACATATGCCCAGACATCAGTTGTCAGACAGGATATTTGTGTCCTTCCCAATTGACCCCCGAATCTTATTCTATTGCGGCTCACGCCCTCCACTATCCGTCATCCCTCCCATCCAAGAAAGGCAAAACAGCTCTCTGAATCCCCCCGAAGCGGACAAGATCAGAGGTTTTTCCTTGGGAATCGGAAGCTTTAGTCTACCCAGCTACCATATCACACCAGCCAGTACCGGTCTCACACTAGGGGTATTCAAAGTTGAAAAACTTGAAAAAAGTAGCTTACTTTGCTGTTTCATGGCCAAGCTTGGCAGATACAAAAACAGTTACTTTACTCTCATTTTACTTTACCATACCATACTTTTTTTTTTTGGTTAGATACAGAGGTCAGGAAGTCTGTATCTCCTTCAAAATTTATATCAATTGAACTCTACCAGAACTTCAATATGATACATAATCTGAAAAGAAATCCATTAAAAAAATAGTGGAAAATCTTAAAATATTATTGCATACTTTAAAAATAATTATCTGCTTTCTCTGACAAAAATCTTGTAACATGTTCATACTGGGGTGCTAGTCATGCTTATGGGTATAATAGAAGTAGCACATAAGTTGATCTACAACCTGCAGACATACTGCACTAAGGGAGACTTTCAAAGTTGAGAGAAAGATATATAGAATAGGGACTTAAAGAGGTAACCATTCAACCAAGTATATTAGAATACTGTCTGTCAAAGTCTGCTGTTTCATTGAGGGAATCAGTGGTCTTTAAATACATAATTTTGTCTATGTCCTGCATAGGCAATTTTCTAAGTGTTTCTTAATCAAGAAAATACTTCAAACATACTGAGTATTAAAGGATACTTGAAACTATACGTAAAACAAACTAAGTATTAAGAGATACTTGAAACCACAGGTAAAACACACTGAGTATCAAAATATACTTAAAACTACTAGTAAAACAAACTGAGTATCAAGGATACTCAAAACTATAAGTAAAACAAACTGAGTATTAAGAGATACTCGAAACCACAAGTAAACCAAACTAAGTATCCAGGGATACTTGAATCACAAGTAAAACAAAATATAAAAACAAATCCTTGAACCAGATTCCAGTTCTGGTTACAGATCTCTTCACTTGAGTATTTTGTTAACAAATACTGAAAATTTTCAGTATCAGTAAGATCTATGAAAACTTCTACCCTCTCTACCTTTGATTACCTTGAGGCATTCAAATATACTACATGAACCATATAGATATGATTGGCTAACACTGTAAAGTAACCTAATGCACCTTCTGGTAGTTACTCATTACCGAAAAATCATCTTTTCAACTTTGAATACCCCTACTCGAGTGCCGGTACCAGTACCGCACCAGCTACCGAGCCAGCAGCCCGCTCTTGGGCCACATCTGAAAGGCGTGAAACACCAAAACCGCACACTTCCACCTCCCTCTGTGCCACAACTACCTGAGTACTATGATACCGGATCCAAAGGGTTCATTACCGTACCGCCTTGCCTTTTGCACCAGATATTTGTGACCAGTGACCCAAATCCATCCATCCATCCATACAGTATTCCTGATTCAAACACGTCTGCCAACAGCTGTTAGAATTACGTATCACGAGCGGGGTTCGAAATCTTGGCCACCAGCAAACATAACGGTGAAGCGGATATCTCGCTATTGTCTATTCACGATATTTGCTTCGAGAGGAGCGCTCGTCTCGTCAGAGCAGAAGTGCGCTGTACGGTACTGCACCGTGCTGCACTGCACTATCATAGCAATGACACATTGGATTGAATGTGGATTCTCGGTATCACAACTTTGGCGACTGGGCGGAATACTGGTACTGTACTCGCATAGTACTCGTTCATGCTCCTCGTGCTGTATGCCCAGCTACCCCCCCGTACAGTAGCGAAAGGAAGCGGTACCGGCATCACGGCGAGGGCGGGAGAGAGTGGCTTCCCCCTCCCCCCAGATCCATGCGGCAACGTGCTCTGCCCAAGCATCTTCATAAGCTGCGAGTACTCGAGTACCGTGCCATTTGCTTCCCTCTGATTGCTGCACTGCGCAGCAAGAGCACAGCATATCCCATTTCCAATTGAGTCCTTCCCCCCGCTGGCAAACGAGGAAATCCCAGCATGACAGCACGGTGAAAAATCGGGATACGGGTATACTCGAGTATGGTAGAGGTCGACGCCGACACAAGAGCAAGATAGGGTACCGGTATTGGGCAGCTCAGCTCAGCTCCCCCTCACCCCCAACCACGAATATGATACCGATCCCACCTCCGGGCGCATGATATGATGCTACGGGAAAAAAATGAAAAAAATGAAAAAGAGAAAGAGGAGAAGAGAAAACGAGCTCGTACAGGAGCATCATACGAGCATGTAAATCGAATTTTCATATTTCCTATCACAACTCCCGAACCCCCTCCCCAAAGGCCATGTCCGCCACTGGCGATGGTATTACAGCATCAATAGCATGAAAATCATTTTTCTCCTCTCTCCCTTTCTGCACCGCGGTACCGCAGTGGCACATCCGCCCCCTTTTCTCTCCTCTCGAGTTCCCCCCCCCTCGCCTGGATTGCAGATAAGCTCTTTTTTTCTCGGTAATGCCCACTCCCACCCGCCAAGTCTGTGGGTCTCCGATTCATTGGCCATCCATCCGGTCGCATCCAGCTCCTGCTTCAATCTCTCCACTCGTACTCTACAGTACCCTCCCCGTGCCCTCCTTACCCTTTCCACCCAATGGGAGAAGTGGTAAACAGCAACCACCACCACCATCTTCCTCCCTCCCCGCTCTCCCTCTCAATTTCCGGGCACAGTAACACACAAACCAGGGTCAGTACCACACCACTATTGGCACCAGTGCTGCTATCAGGCAGGGAGAGGCTAAATCCACCGAGCAACTACCGTACCGTATCATCGCAGATAGGACTGATGCAAAGGCCTAACGTTGCACGAGTACCATATCGCACTAGCGCACCTGCATCGTACCGGTATTACGAATACAAGTACCGTAGGGCCAGCCCTGCGGCTACGAGTACTTGTACAAGTATCATATCATAGTTGGGCGTGTCCGAATTGTGCCCTAAATTTACCTGTTTGGTGCTGAGCCGTTTTCCTCACTCTCTTTTTCCCTCCCTTCGGCACATTTTCTGGTTCGCTCGTCGCAGATCGTTCCGTGGGGATGGACATGTTGAAAGCAAAAAGAAAAAGAAATGAGAACTCCTGGGCTCCTCAACACGACATGCCCACAGCCGGCGGCGAGGATCTTCTGTCCCTCTGCCGACACTGTATCAATCGAGCCTGGACCCTGGATCAATGAACGTTCAAGAGAAAAAAAGAAAGGGAGAAAAAACTCACACAAGCATATTCGTTTTAGCCGAGGGCAACCCATCTGCATGATATCATCCCGGCAACAACGCTGCTACAGCATACCTTACCGGTACTCTGCTCGCATGGCCCTGTTGCTGGCTGGCTGGGCATTAGGCGGGTAAGCATCGTCGTTGCGGTAACGGTACGTAGCATTTTCTATTGCTGCTGCACACGGTGAGAGTGCTAGTGTACTAGTACCTTCCCTCGCTGGCTCCGATTCTTGGGCTGTTGACTGCATTGCAGAATAGTCCATGACGAGAGGTGCACAGTACAAGTGCTCGAGTACGGTATAGGTATTTCTGCATTGATATGGGCCGTAACCTAACCTGCGCGCAAGTGTGATGCATGCCGCTCGACACATAAAGTCTTGCCACAATCACCCGCACATCCTCGTTGGTAAGTTACATAAGGCCTGCTTACGAGTACTCTTAATGGTAATGTTTTCTCCCCATTTCGTTTTCTCCCTTAAGCTGAATGGTTTCTCCACCGCTACGAGCGGATGTCCCCAGAATATGTCCGAGGACAAAAAACAGAGCAAAGGGATAAGGCGGCGAGGGGAGACTCCCGGGGGGGAGAGGAAAAGAGCAACGACTGATGCAAAGGGAAAAAACATATCAAATATAATTTAGATGGTGCAGTATGGTGGGTTACCCACCGTATCGTAAATTATGGTGATAACACCGCAATCTAGCGAGCGAGCTTGGGGCTAGGAGCACAAAAGAGCACTCGGTATGCGGAACGCGCCGCCACAAGTGCACCATCTCTCCGTCAAGACCTCAACCTATTCATTCGCTTCGCTGCACCCTACTCATCCATGCTGTAATCACTTGATAGGCAGGCGAACCTGGACGCTGCCCTTCAACCGGGCTCATCAAGGGAGCTATCAAGCCAGAGATTTTACCTTTTGTTTGTTTACCCAACCTGCTCGTTATGCAGCACTGTGACTACTGTACTCGAGTGCGTCTCGCTCACCTATGGTACCACAACTACAACACTATGGATACCATCGCCAAAATCAGACATGATCAGGGCACTACGCACCCGAACATCCTCTCCTCCCCCCAACAGCGTAACACGAGCATTCTCGAGTAAACAAAAGCGATTGAGTTACAACCGACTTAGGCCCAGCAAAACCCCCAGCAGGGTGTATTGCCCCGATCTGCCGGCAAGTCTAAAGAATAATGGGAAGGGATGAAACCCCCATATCTTTTCTCGTCTTGTCGCCACCACTACAAAAGCCCGTGATTTCAGCTCGGTCTGGGATGATTTCGTTCCGGGCATTCGCATCTGTTAATCGTAGCATCGCATAGAGTATCATGGGTGGGCTGCGGGTGTGTATTATACTCATAGTTCTCTATTCCATACATCCCACCCACCCCACCGAACACGGCACATGAATCAAGCAACGTAACCAATCTTCCTTGCCTTCAGAGGCACTCACGCACGGAAGGGGAGACAGAGAGAGAATAGGACGGGAGCCTCGCATGCGGTGCTCAAACACGCCATACAGGCATGAGTAGGGTCCACGAGAGCCGGGATCGTGATCAAGATGTTGTGAGAACCCGAGCACCATACGAACGAACGCTGCGACCCCTTTCCCTTACTTTCTCGTCCAGGCGCGGCTGAGGAGCATAGAGATAGGTGGTCAGGTCGAATAATGATATGGATAACCAGCACGGGGAGTGAACGGGGAATCGTCCCAAATGACGCTGAATGAATTACCGGCAGTCAACTTACACGGGTCCAATCGAGCAACAGATTACCGCATTACTCTGCTCGTAGCGTTGGAGCGCTTTTTCTTTTTTTTTTTTTTTTTTGAAGAGGACTGCTGTTGCATATCGCCGGAATTTTGCCCTTTTCGCCTGGATATGGGTGCACAATATTCCAAGGGTTCTCGTCATTGCCTTACTTGCTTGCTTACTTGCTTCCTGGCTTATGTGGTACTCTCGCATTGGGCATTTCACTGGATGAAACGAGTAAAAAAGCATCTGTCAGGCCGGTTGTTCCGATCCGATTCCAGTTTCGAGTGATCGAGAGTGACTACACCCAGGGGTTGCCAAGACGGAATGTACCGACGGGGTTGATCGGAAACCAGGGGATGATGTGGGAGAGAAAAAAAAAAAGGTGCCATGACATGATTGACGGAGGAGGCTGAACAGTTGTGCTCGACTCTCCCCGCCCCCACTCCCGGCACGCACATACCGGTACGGATATCTGGGCAACACGGATGAATTCGATATGCTCCCGGGCCCTGGGGGTTCGAATTCGGCTTCCGGTAAGGGGCGCAATTGCTGCTGCTGGGACTCAGATGCGATGTTTTACTTTTTCGGCGAAAAAAGTGAAGACGAAGGGGAAGGGAAGGGGGGGGAAAGAGAGGGAGAGGAATGTTCCTATGATGCCGCGAAAGAGGGCATCTACTACTCTTGACCAGACGGTTATACCGCAGTTGTCGACGTGGGAGTTGAGGTCTATTTACTCGCAGGAGGTTTGTTTGTTTGTTTGACTTTAACCCTCCATCCCACCAATGGGATGGAGGAGGACGAAAGAGGATATCGTATTAACAAGCTTGGGATAGTTATTTGTCTTCCGCTGCGACGTAACCGCCGCTCAGATCTCGTCCGCAATGACCTCCTACCCTACGCTCCGGGACGTGGGCGTGTTGACATCGGACGACATATCAAACCTCTCGCGCCAGATCCACACGAGGTACCGACTCTCCCGTTGCGAGAGCGAAGTCTTCGGACACATCGAGCAACTGATCACCGACCTGAAATCCGGCGAGATACCCGGCCATCCACTCGCTAGCGTGCACTTGATGTCGTGCCTGAAAGATATGGAGCGATTCGAGGTTGCGAACGGGTTTTGGAAGTGGTTAGTTGACCTGGACGAGACGCATTGCGATGCTAGGGTCTACGGCGTTGCCATAGAGAACTACGCATACCAGGGCGTGACCCAGGATGAGCTGGAGAGAATGTTTATGGAAGCGCTGGGGAGGTACTCTGAGACGGTGGATGCGAAAATTGCGAGGGATACGGGGAAGGCTACGAGGCTTATGCTCCTACAGGGGATTATCACAGCGAGGATTTTGCATGGCGATTGGAGAGGGGCGTACGAAGGGTTTGATATCTCTGTCAGGCTGTACCCGACTTTGACTCCCGCGAGGATATACGAGCTGTTCTTGTACGAGCGGCCAGTGAAGGAGGCGTATATTGTTTTCTTGATGGCTTGTCGGGCGGGGACTCCGCCAAAGCCACCGACACTTACGCCGTTGCTTAGAGGGATTTGGGCAAAGCATCGGGATGTCAAGGCTATGATCCGGCTGGTATATGCATTCGTCGGAGCTGGGGGGACACCATTCCCGCAGCACTTGAACTCTCTCGTCCTTGCCATCCTTGGATCACTGCCAAGTGACGCTTCGAAGGGTAAAGGGGAAGAGTTCGATAGGATGTTTGATGCAACAATGGCGTTGATCAGAGACCTGATATCTGCGTTTGGAGGGTTGCGGGTTTTTCCTAGCCAGGGGACGTTTAACACTATCATCACGCTGGGTGGGAAGTTGAAGAGACTGGACCTGGTACATGGCGGTATGAAGGAGCTACTTGCTGCCCACTTGGAGCCGAACATGATCACGTACAGGACCATCGTCAACGCTTTTGGAGAAATGGGGGATCGGGAGCAATTCCAAGCCGGTTGGCGGGATCTATGTGCTGCGCGCGAGGAATTGGGAGTGCCATGGGATGTTAAAGACTTTACCGCTTTAATCAAGGCTTGGCCCCTTCCTTTTTCCTCTTATCCTGTGTATGTGTTAACGGTGTCAAAAGGGCGGCTTAAATCTTGGCATACCGGACTACGTTCGTGACGAGATAGAAGCCAGCGGGCTCGACCTGACCCACGAAGTGCACCGCATATCCATGGCAAAGTTTTACAAAATACAATCACGAATGCGCAATGCTTCCACCGCCTCTCCCCCCGATATCCCTGCCACAGATCCATCACACTCCCAACCAACCCCTGAAGCTGCCACCCCCCAGCCAACCCTCTTACCATTCTCCCTCTCCGACCCAACCAAACGCCTAAAAATTCGCCGAGAGGTAAACAACCTCTCCACTATCTTCTCATCCGGCAAAATCTACGATTTTGCCTCCTCCCCGGTCTTCAACACCACCTCGGCAAATAAATCCCACGAGAAGATCGTAGACATAGACTTTGCAACACCAGACATCATTCCTCCGTCAGAACTCCAATCCTTCTACGCGGAATTAACAAGCTCCGTGTCCAAGGTCTCCTCCGGCGAGGACGCGCTCACACGGACGGCAACGGGCTATACCGTTAGGGAGCTCCGCTTCGAGAACTGGAGAACCATTAATCGCTTGTTGTTTGAGGCCGAGTTATTCGAGAAGGAGATGATTGAGAGGAGGGTGAGGGGGATGGTTATGCGTGGGAGGATTGCGGGTGTTGTAGATAGGCAGGAGGGAGATGGGGGAGGAGAGATGGGGAAGATGTTTGAAGGGGAGGAGAGGGCTAAGAAGAGGATTGAGAATGTTAGGAGGGGGATCCAGGGGGTTACAAAGGCGCATGGGGAGGGGGAGGTTGGGTGGAGGAAGGAGGAGTTGAAGGTTAGGGGGCTCTTGGGGAGGGATGTGAATATTGAGGGGGTGGAGGGGGTGCAGGGGGTGTAAATTGTAGAGATGGGTGTGGATGTGTAGATAGATTGTGTAAATATCATATGATACCTGAATTATGTTGTTTGCTGGAGTTGGGGGTTGCCTACACGCGTTTGATGGGCGTTGTTGTGTATGATTGCGAGCATGAAATATCACTCGACCGATGGTGAGGGTATGATATGATATGATGTGGTGGCATCATGGGGTAAGCAGCGTTTCCAGGGGGCTTGGGCACTGTTGTCTCGCTCTCGTGGTATGATAGTGGTATGATGATGATGATGATGATGATGATGATGATGATGATGCTGGTGCTGGTGCTGCTGGTGCTGGTGGTGCTGGTGGTGGTGCTGCTGGTGGTGGTGCTGCTGGTGGTGGTGGGGTTGGGAAGAGCAGGCGTAAGGGATGGAATGGAATGGATTTTATATTGTCGCTGGTATCATAGGTCGGTTTACGTGCTGATCGATCGGTCGGCTCTTTACTGTACCAAATATATCATACCTGTGTCTTTTTTCTTTTGAATAGTTATGCTTCGCATGATTGAAGGATGCTCCACAAATTCCCCATCCGTCGCTATTTCGCGGAGTACTTTTGTGGAGATTTTTTTGTGCGGTCCTGTCGCTGCCTGTCTGGACGTGCTTGGTAGCCCTTAGATATAACCTATGATTAGCTTTTGCGAAGAAAAAAAAAAAGATGAGTATCATACTCGTGTGTCGAGAAGGTATTTTTGCCGTCTCCCAAACTTAACCTGTCATTGACGAGTACAGTACTGCAGTGATTCGGTCCGGTTTGTGAATTTGAGATGGCGGATGATGGTACTTGTCGTATGATGGCTGGTTGTCATGGGGGATGGGGCTTTTTTAGGTATGGTGGATACTATTTGTGGCTTCTTGTATATTTTGTATATAGATGCCTGGCCGTCAAGATGGACTGATCAGCCTCTGGGAAAACCGAGCGACCGGTGTCGTTCGGAGAACTGGTGGTGGTGGTGGTGGCTTCGTATGATACTGGATTCTCGGCTGTGGGTGGTTGAGTGGTTAGGGAGAAAAAAGTAAAGAAAAAACAGTAACAATCTCACACGAGATTATTTATCGTATAAGGTGGGTGAGCGAGATGATTTCCTGCTCTGTCGAGGTCTCGTGGGGCTTTCTTCTTTCTTGTATGGTTATCTATCATACTCCCATAGTGCAACTCATCTCAAGGTTTGATATGATGACACATAATCGGATCTCTTTCTTTCTTGTACTCGTACTATACCTCCGGACAATCATCCTCAAATAGAAAGCTGGGAAGAACTAGAGGAAGCAAAGAAAGGTGGGGGGGGGGAATGGAAGAAAATGGAACTAACAGATATCTCAGACCTATGTGAAAGCGTGAAGGAAGCCATCTAGCAGTTATTCCCCAGTATCCGGGAACCCAGCCGGAGAGGCAGGAGCCACGGAGGGGAACTGGACGTCCTTAATCGGTCCGCCTTTGGTCGGGGCAGCAGTGCTGTACTATAGGTGATGGATGGCAAGGGAGGGGAGGGAGAGCAGAATGAGTGATGTTTCGTGATTGAGGTACAACCTAACCTATAACTATTCCTAAAAAAAAACCCCCCGAGTATCATAGAAGGAATGAGGGTGGGGACCGTATACAAAACTCGATAGAATTGTAAAGAATTTATTGGGGAGGATGGTACAAATGGTATGGCGGGCGTAAGCTAAGTGTGGCTATAACAATAAAATCAGGATGCACATCCCCTCTCAGTGACAATGGGTATCGTATGATAGGAGGAAAAAAAAGAAAAGTGCTGGTAGTGTGCCACCATGGGAGATATATCTGAGTTGCGTGATGTGAGGAAGGGAGAGGACGGAGGTTTATCATAGTTGCTATATATGGCTTACACTATCATATCGGGTGACTGGGTCAGGTCATGGGCATGTGGGCATATGACATCCGGCCACTTTTTTTTTTTTTTAAAAAAAAAAAGAAAAAGCAAGAAAGCACCGAGTGTATGATGTGGTAGCCCGTCATTCTTTACAGCTCCACATCTAAGATTAACGGAAGGGATTATTGGAAGTACCCGCTCCCGCAGGATCCCGCAATTGTTACTGTAGGATCTGCATGTTAAGTTGAAGACATTGGGGTACGACAGCCACAGAGCGAAGAAGTGAATCGTTGCCTGCCCCCCTTGAGTCTCGTGGGGTTCACACGCCGGTTCTCAAATGCTGCGATGGGACGTCTACATATTTATACAGGATGAATTTTTTATCATACCAAAGCACAGCGTATAATAAGGATACATTCTCTATTATAGAAGGGACATGTGCACGCACGTTATGTGGGATAGCCATCTCTTTACACTGGAGGATCAACGATTCGATACTCTACCTGTCTGCCAGTTATATACCGGGGAATGGTGTGCTCGTGCCCTCAGGAGGAACTGGTTACCGGTTACTCCTCGGGCCATCCAATATCTATCTATATACGAGGACGTTAGTTACGGATATAGCAAGTTTTCAGCTCCATAAAGTTTATATCGTCACGTGAGCACTACAAGTACCGCTACTAGATGGGAGGAAGTGGGGGGGGGGGGGGGTAAGAAAACCGGTATAGCCTTGCACTGGCGGCCGCCGACACCTACAGTACTCGTACCTTCCTACACATCACACTCAGCACCGCCGTCATGAGTGTTGGCGCCGTAGAAATTACAGGCTAAGGATGGGCCATGGCCGAAAGCGGAGCGTTTATTCGGGAATGTAGGAGGCAGTTTCTTTCGGTTTGGAGTTCTCATGATTTAACGGAGAAGTTTCTCTGCACATGCCTTTCCGTTATTGTCAGGGGTGTCCGTGGAGGAATGGCGAAATCCATGGAAGAGGAGAGGCATGTGGTGATCTGTGGAGTGATCGTTTTACTTGTATGACCGTCTTTATCGTTGGTTTTGAGAAGATGCCGAGCAGGTTTAGGACCATATCATACCTTTCCTACCGTTCGTACCGGTCAGCCAAGTCCCATTTCTATTCCACTCCGTATAGACTACCGCTACACGGTTTATCCTCACCCGAGATTCTCCAACGACAGGGACTCGCTCCGGACGCCTTGAAATTTGGATTGGCTATATATAGGCCCGGGGGGGAAGGAGTGAGTTATAGCTTACGACTAATGACGAAACCTTGTGTTATGATTGCATGGTAGCTGTGACTTGGATTTATGGCTTCGCGGGGTTATCCTGGCGGTAGATAGTGACCCATCGTGTGATATCGAGCTCGGAAGCTTGACTTGTAGTGCACTGGAAAGGGATAAATCATTGGTGATCACTCGGTTTGGAATGTCCGCCCCATTGGTGGATTTGTTTTATCCATTGTGCATTCCCGGGAGGGAGCTGATCGCGGTCGGGTACCAGTCCTGTTTCAGATGAGATGTGTACTTTTCCGTTCTTGCTATTATAGGAGTATAAAGTAATGGCTAGGCTCGGATAGGTGCGCCGGATGATAGGGTAAAGTAGGGTGTGAGGAAATGTATTTTTGGATATGGCAAATGGGTGACGGATACGGTACTCGAATTGGGGGCGTTTACTGAGTCGGTAGAACTCAGTGGGAGTCCCTGAAATGTGTGGGGTGTTTGTTCCGGGGGCAAAGGTTTCTGGATTGTTCAATGATGATCCTCTTTATTCTTATTTTGATGGTATCATATGAACTAATCGCGTAGAATTTTATAAGCTTAATACAAACTTGATCATCCCCTCGTCTGAGAAATCCATTTCCTTGGCACAGTGGCGGCTGTTGGAGGAAGTGTACTTTGTATGGTGGACGATGGAGACTCGGTTTCGAAATGTCTATCGAGTGTGGTGGAGTTTGGTAGGTGGGGGGTGAAGGGGAACAGGGGATTGAGAGGTTAGGGCTAGGGTACCTAAAATGCCTGATCCTGGAGAAATTATATCGTATCATAGGTTTTCCAGATGGGGTTATCCCACGAGGTTGTCCTTTCTCCTCTGCATTGTTGTATCATAGTGATTTTTGTGGATAAGTGAGGGGGTCTGATCCAACAGGACAGAGGGAGGAAATGAATGAGGGATGAATAAAGGAGATCGGCTATGATAGGATATGGGAGTTTTAGTATTGTGATGATATATGTATTTGGCGGATTGCCTTGGCTGTTTTGTCGGACCAAGGGAAGAGCAGGAAGGAAACGGTTAAAAGGGCTCGCCGGGGTTGGAGAGAGTTGTGATGGGAAAATCGAGGGGTTGGTGTGTTGGGGGGGTTAATATAGAGATGATCTCTTTATCACGCGGGAGGGGAATTTCTTTCTAGTTGACTATCATACGATGAAAGGGAGTAGGGGCTGCGAGGGGGATTAAATAGGTCCTGGGTTTGAGGAGGGGGAGGGGGAATGATTTTGTGTGTGGGATTTGACAGCGGGATGGCGTGAGCTGAAGCGTACAGTATCGTGCGGATCGCCGTAGCTGGCAGTGTATGAGTACCGTACCAATGATAGCGGTGGTTTCATATTGGGGTGAACACCCGTTCTACCCTTTTTGGTCACCCCCACCAAGTCTCATTCCCCCAGTGAGGAAGTCTGCGCTCTTCAGTACTCGCTCACAGGCTGTCCCCAGTGAGCGTCCTGACCTCTCCAAATTCACCCATCCACTCACGCTCTCCTAATTCTTCCACGGTGCTCTACCGGTATGAGAACCGTTCAGCAGAAGTCGTGCAGGCTGGAGAGTGGATGCCCGCTGAAAAACATGTCCAAACTGGGAACTCTCACGAAAAACGACTTGAATTGGGATGGCTAGCAATGCCGGTAGCCAGCAAGTTGCGGCGCGAGGAGGGTCGGGAAAGTCTCGCGGTAACCCCTCGTGTTTGGACATACTCACGCATGACGGCAGCAAGGGCGAGATCTGGTTTCGCTCCCAGCCACCGCCATTTTCCTCTCATGCCGCTATCGATAAAAAAATGGGATATCTCGTAAAGGTTGCCGTGACAAGATAGGAGCGATCACCCGCACACCAAAGAGGGTTGGACCCACGAGCCACGGTTGGTGGGGTAGTCACTGCGCCACTCCCGGACCGTCCCGGGAACACCAAAGACGCGCCAACGTCGCGCGTGAGCACCGCGTCCAGGTCGCGGTGGTTCACGCGTTCTGCCGTTTAAACTCTTCAACCCCTGTCACACACACTTCTCCTCCCATCGGGCCCGCTTTGGTCTTAATGTCTGTCTGCCCCTTCCTCCCCCCCCCCGATAACCCTCCCTTCCTCCTTCGCTTCGACTTAAACGCACCCACCTCCCCTCCCCTCTCGCCTCTCCGCCTCTCCACCATTCCATCCCGCTACCCTCACTTCCGGGGAAAAAGAGACGAGATAAACTTTAACGGGATCACGCACCATTCTCTCACTCTTTCCTGTTTTTGTTTGTTTACCCTTTTCTTCCTGTTCATTGTATGATCTTCAGCTCTGTCGCTCTTTCTGTCCGCGCTTTTCTCGGTTAGCGATCTGTACTTACTGCACTTGCGATAATGGCACCTTCATCAACTCTTGTCTCAAGCCCTGGGCGGCGTCACCACCTCTCTCCTGTGACGAAAGGTCCTCTATTCAACAGCATTCCTGGCAATTCTGCTCGTCGCCGTGAGTACTCGCACTGTCCGTCCGAATAGAACACTTTTCAATGGGGGAATCCTCTACCCCTCATAGGGGTCACTCAGGATTCCCCGCTGCCAATTTTATTTTTAAATTCCTTTTGCCGCATCATGATTATCGCCTCTGCTAATTGAAACAGCAACCCCCACTAAGCGCCCACTCTTCAACGATGAGAACGCAGATCCCAACCTATTCAAACGCGTCAAGTCCGTTCTCTCTCCTTCAAAGTCCATCTCGAGTATCGACGAGATCCTGAAGCCCTCCTTGAACCCCACCATCACCGCCGGTCCATCATCCAAGTCGCGTTTCATCTTGACCGATAAGCCCTTAGTCAACTCCCAGCCCAAGCGTGCCCTGTCCAACATCACGAATACCCACCAGCGCGTGTGCAAGCCGTCCCACAAATCCGCGAAACCGCTCGTCGGGAGCTCGTTGAAAAAGGCGTACATCCCCTCCCCCACGCGTCGCACGCGTGCCGCATCTCCACAGATCGGGAGTGGCCGTGGACAACTGAAGCGCTCGCGTTCTTCGACTCCTCCAGTTGTGTTCAGAGACGTACCCACTTCGAGTTCCAATGATCCACCTGCCACCCCTTTGATGCAGCAACAGCCTATTCCTGACTCGTGGATATTTGATATCTATGAAGACTCTCCGGAGGAGACGCTCCAAAACCTGGTGGAATTCTCGACTCATACACTCGACATTTCTGACAATGAGGAGACCGGCGAGTTGGATCTCGGGAAGGAGAACATCCCCCCATCAAGACTCGCCGAAATCCTCTCCACCCCACGTGAGAACCAAATGTCCGTCGATGCTCCCGTCAAGTGCATCCCGCAGCGACGAGCATTGGACATCTGCCCAGGGGGGCGGGCAGCCCGCGAATGTAGGGAGCCGCTGAGAGAAATGAAGGAGGAGGAGTTACTTCAACCTGGGGAGAACACGACACGCGACGAAGACATGATTAAGAAGGTGATGAGCAAAAAGGAGGAAACTGGAAGCGATAAAATAACGACCACTACCACGACAACGAAACTACCCACCGTATCTAACGACTCATTCATAACCTTCTCCACCCCAAAGAAGATGAGGAAGAAATCTCTGCTCCGCAAGACACCCAGTCCTGGCTGGAAGATATGGGAAAACGATCGCGATGATGATGCCACTGGTGATAACGAGAGTTTACCGCCGCTACCACCACCTACCAAGGACGAGTTCAATATCCCCCTACTAGCGAGTACGTGTAGGAAGCGGGTGTTGGAGGAATGACGGTCACTCCCCCCCTCTCTAATGTACCCTTCTTTTCCACTTCCTCTATAGCTTGATGGCCTGTTATTTGTAATCTTTGTTACTTTTTTTTTTTTTTGTTGTGGGCATATACTTGATGTTTCCTCTTCTTCCCTTCCGGGTAGTCCCATTTACGCCGACAATCCCCCTGGGTTAACCACCTACCCACCCAGCCAAGGCGAAATGGAGTCAAAAAAGTCTCTTTTACCTTTCCTTTCCTTTCCTTTCTATCCATATTTTTGTATCTGCTCAAAGTATCGCATCTGGCTGGCTTTTTCCGGGCCGGGTCGGTGTGTGTTTGTGTGTGTGTGTGTGGTGGGCGCTTTGGCGTGTCTAGGGGGGTTAGGTTAGCGTCTTGCTTTTTATCATTTTTGTATGTCCGGTCGGGTCGGTCTTCTTTGCAAGCGTTTTGTCCCCTCTTTTTTGTTTTTCTTTTTCCTCCAGTCTCTTTCTTTGTAAAGGCATATGTATTTATGGACTTGACGGGTTACGCGATGGGAATTGAATTACTGAGTTGAATGTTGATGTCTGCGTTATGCTGTATCATACGATCTGGGCGACAAAAGAAATGTGGCCCCCCCTGGGTTTTCCATACAAAATTCCCATTTTTGATTTTTGCTGCCAGAAGAAACCACAACAAATCCTGTCCCCCAAACTCTAATAATATGATAGACGTCCATAAGGAGCTTAGCAGTATGAATTTTTCAATTTTTTTTTTATTGACGGTCTTAGATGCCGATACAGAGACATGAAGCTGGACAGGTCCGTTGCTACGGTATGCAAAATCCCGTACAAATTTGCTGTCTTGGCATGGATTTTGACCCTCTGTTCGGAAATTATACTTTGAGTTTTTGTAGAGCAATTCCTGTGAACCCCCGGATTAAGCTCTCTGCTAAGAAGGATTGGAAAATTTTCTCGTGCTTTGCTGCTAGATAGGCTCATATCAAAAATTGGTGTTTTGTATGTATGGGGAATGGGGGACGTTTCTTTTGTTGCCAGGCAGGTTCGTACTGTACCCTATGTATGCGAAGGGAGGGGAGGGAGGGGAGGGGGATGTGTCCGGCGAGTGATGACCATCTGCGGCGGCGACTGGACCGCCCTGTGCCGGTAGTTATTATCAATTATTTGGATGATGATCTGCGAGTGTACCGTTGGGGATCCGGTGCTTGGCTAGTGAGCTAGGGGGTGCGGTACAGTACGGTACTGTAAAAACCCAAGCGGGCCAAGTAATCGAGTGACGAGCCGTGACAACGGGAGGTATTAATAACGGCACTGGCAATAATCATCAGATTGAAAACGGGTCAAAAAAAAAAAAAAAAAAAGGCCAGAGTGCCGACCTGAAAATTGCGGTGATGGAAAGAAAGATACGAAGACTGGTGGTGTTTCCCAGTGGCCGATTATGATCATCCGATACCCGACGGTGGTAGTGGTGGATATGGTCGGTATAGATGCGGTATGGGGTGTCATGGGGGTTTTGAATTTCTTACGGTGGCGCTGGTATGATATCGTATCGTGCGTGGTGCCGTGTGGCTTGGGTATCGTGTAGTAGCGTATCTTGGGGAAATTCGTGGCGGACGATGCATGCTCTTGCATGCGTCGCTTGGTCACGGATACTGGGCGAATTGAGAATAATATATGTAGGTATCCACCTCGAGCCTACTACTCTCTGTATTTTGGTTTTCTGGTTTGCTATGTCTTCAATCTTCCCCATTGCTTCGTAGTTGATGAGGGGGGGGGGAAACAAAGTGTTGCTTTGGAATTGTGATTCGCTTTGACTTCTACTCGTGGTATCGTACCTGGGTACGCTCTGGAGTACTGGTCTCCATTGATTCATTGTATGATGGGGTCCTTGTTGGCCCTCTTAGATTTCAGTGTTGATTGAAGGTGCGTTTGTTTTCTTACTAGAGATGCCATTCATGGTTTATCACTCGCAGTTTTGTTCTGCTCTTTTTTTCTTGCCGGTTGGAGGTCATCATTTAGCACACACTGATACATACACCTGGGGTCTATATATCATGCGAATTAGTATTGTATCATACGGAGTGGCCGGGAGGTTAGCAGGGCTGCTTGTGGGGAAGGGGGGTGTATAAGTTCTCGCTCGATGAATCATATCATAACGTATAGTGCTTCTCCACAACCTAAACCCTAAGATAACTCCCCATCCGTACTTCAGCGTGCCCACCTATTTCTCTATAAAACATTCATATCCTCCCCCTTCTTCTGCAGTCACCGTCGGATTCACAAGACCACCAGTCCCTTTCTTCAACGAAGAAGAGCCCAAAAACACCAGCTCACAACAAAAATGGGCATCCTCCACACAAAGATAATATACACCCCCCAACCACCAAAATGGTCCGCTGTCACAGCCCCAATTCCCGAGGCATCATCCCCGTTCCCCCCGATACCGGTCTATCCACATTTACCGGCCGCTCCTCCAGTTATTTCTCAACAGCAACAGCAGCAATCGGCTCCACCGGTGTCAGTGGGTGTTCTGGCGCTTCGGTATCCTGATGGTAGGATTGTTCCTATGGTTGACGCGCATACCCGTGCATATGTGCGTGGGGATGTTAGGGGATGGATATGGGTGCCGAGTTTTAAAATTTGGGTTTGGCGGTAGGGTGGGGGTGGTGTGGGAATGGATTGGTATCATGTGGGTGGTGAAATTGGGAAAGTTGGTGGGGATTGGGATGTTGGGTTATGGTGGTGAGGTATATATATAAAAAAAAACACAGTACAATGGGGATGGTTCGGGGATGAGATTGTGTGATCGGTGATCTCTAGAAATCAAACGCGGTACCGTGAAAACTGGAATAATTGAACCTTCTAGTATCAAGTTTAGAATTTCCTTCTCCTAGAGGGAGCTAAGAGCATGTTAGAATGGCTCCTCCGTCCCTACTTTTGAGACCATCTTTTTTTCTTCACCATGCCGAGAAAGGAAAGTCCACCGACATAGCACACAGTTCAATTCCTCAGGTTTCTACGATATGGGACTCATCACTCTTGCACTGTAGACAATATGCAATTTTGGGGAAAAAGTGCATCTCACGACCAAGACATTTTCCGTGCTGCTGGAAACATAAACCTTCGAAACTTTAAATACCTAGAAGGGAGTACTGTACATCACGGCGTCCGGCCTTCACCCATCAACACAGAAACTCGAGCACTTCCCATATTCCATAAACTTTCATCCCACCTCCGACTGCATCCTTTCAATCCACCTACTACAAACTCCGTCAGTCTCCCATGAAATTACTCAAGGAGAGTAAAGTACATACGTGGTCAGGCTTCAACCCATAGGTTCCATCCATCTGCAAGAACATAAGAACACAAGGCGGCGGTGGTTGCTGTTGCTGTTGCAGCTGCTGCTGAGGGGAGGACTGTGCAGCAGTAGCGGTAGCAGCTGTAGTAGAGGGGTGTCCGGTAGTGGTGGCAGTGGTGGAAGCACCTGCTGGGGCGATTGGCTCAAAGGTAGCGGTAATATTGACCGGGATCGCTGGTGAGTAGGTACTAGCAGGAACATATTGTCCATTGATATCCAGGATAGGAATCAGAGTTCCATTCGGGAGGGGGTAGTAGAGGATATTTCCCTGATATGGAGTTGCCATTTTGTTTGAGTTTCTTTTCGATCGTGATTTGTGTTTGGTGTTATGATGGAAAGGAAGGAGAGAGGGGAAGGGGAAGGCAAATTTGAGGTGGATGGGCATATAGAGAAGAGAAGAGAGGGGAAGAGAATAAAGTAGGGTAAGATGTGTTGTAGATGCTTGAAGTGGCATACGGGGTTTTATTTGAGCAATCAGTTAGTGGATTTAAAGAGGGCTGGGTAGGTGTCTTCAAATTTTGTCGCTCATCAAAATTTTAGGATTTAGATAGAAAATATTCTTCTAATAAAAATGTTCTTTATTTAGATCCTATAAGAAATGTAGAAGCCAAATTAGGGGCAGAAGGAACTGCTAGTAGAACTCCAGGTAGTACATGGTAGAAGTTAGTTACCTGTCATACTTTAGTTGGGCAGACGAGTGCTTGCCATTTTCAAAAGTATCCTGAAATCTGGAAAATGGTTCGGCAACACAGACGGGTCCACTACCGGTACTATATTAGGTGCAGAGTGAGTGAGTAGGAAAATGTGGGAGACCCTCTGGCAGCGCTCCTCGAGGATTTGCACTACTTTACCGCATTGATTCTTGCACATACCGGCGTCATAGTTGAACCACAGGGGACGATAACCCTCAAGCCGAGAACGATTTCCGGATACTTTTGAAAACACCAAGTACTGGAAGTAGTATTCAAATAGTACCATGCTTACCCATATTGTAAACAGCAAATACAGTACTAGAAATTTGAATTTAAGGTTACAATGCTCGCGGATAGTGTTTTACACCAGAATATTAATACGAGGTAGTCTTTTGTCACCCTGTGGCTCTGGTAAGAAGTTCTGTATTATATAATTATAGAATTGACTGTTTTTACCAATGCCATTCAATACTACTTGTAATTTATCTCTTCTGAGACTATTTCTTACTTCATTTGCTCCTGATCATTGAGTTTATATTCCTACAACTTATTTCACATTTTTATATCATAATTACTGGTATTACTAATAGTGTTTATTAAGTCTATAGTAAGTGACTGTGTAGAATTCTATATACTGTAGTATCATATTAGTGGCCCATATAAACTTACAGTTTAGAACTAGATTGCTAGGTGGGTGATGTGTTATGATATCATAGATCTTGTTGCAAGTTGTATATAGAGGATAGGATTTTAATATTTGTACATTTCTAAGTAAATAAAAATAGAGTTTTGTAGAATCAATTTTTATATTAATTTACTTGGCTCAGCATTGTGAGGCACTGAGTCATGTTGGATAATTTTCTATAAGATATAATAATACTATAATACTCAGTCTATTGTAGCTAGCTATACTATGTTACATCCAATATCAATATTCAAATATTGGTATTATAGCATAAGTACAGGATTGTATAATGAATTTATAGAAGTTTATAAAGTTTTAGATACTGTACTACAACAATTTTTAAAAATACAGTCATATACTACTATTTGGATTTCAAGTTCTTTATATATATATATGCTAGTGGTATTTTAGTATTAGATAGAATAGCATATTTCATATTTCTTACAAGATTGAAATATTTGCCTGTATAGAGTAGAAGTTTAAGTAGACTTAGAGTACCTAAATAATCTGTAGTATTAGCTCTTTAATAGAAGGGTAAAATATAAGGTTTAAGTTTCTAATATTAAATACTTTTAGTTCTACAAGTCTATTGGTAGAAAGTATTGTGTAGTATATTTACCAGGTAGGAGACAGGATAAGGGGATTAAGGCCAATAGAAACTAGAGCTGAATTTAAGAGATTTATATAAGATATATTATCTGTTAATAAAATTAATCATATACAGATGATAGATAATAATATAACCTTTCTCATCACTCGTTACTTTGAATTTTATATAAGGAAATTTCTCTACATCAATCAAAATTCAACTGACTTTCTTAATTCTTTTATTTAAGAAACTATATCTTCTATTCTTTAGTTATATCAAGCCTATTCTTTCTAGAGATCTCTCTGAGTTTACTAGGAAAAGAATTCTTAGGTTATATGAGCTCCAAATAAGCTACTACCAAATTTCTCATCTTCTTGAAACCTTTCTCAACAATATAAAAGATATGATCTTAAGAGGAGATTAAGAGGGAAAAGAAAGAAAGGGTAGAGAAAGATATCCTAAAACTACAAAGTTATAAGATAATACTATAGTAGAGGAAGCTCTTAGTAACTGCAATACTAGCTATTCTGAAATTGCTAACAAAGTTACTTCTAATGTTTCTGCTATAATAGTAAGGAGAAAACTTATATAAAATTATCTGAAAAAGGAGTTGATATAAGAGAGAAACTATTTGAATGAAGATCTAGCTTAAGAATATTAAAATACTACTCACCATACCCTTTCCCTCTCCCTCTCCCTCTTCTCCTCCCCCTCCCTCACCTTCCTATCTTGTATTTTCTCTTTCTAGTAGATTATTTATTTATTAGTTTATTGGTACTTATGTTTTTCCCTTTATTTTCTTATTATATGATAGTTGCATACCTATATATACTATAGTAGTTACTGCTCATCTCACTTAGGAGAATTCAGGATTAGAATATCTAGCAATCTATCTTTATATCATATTCTACCTCACTTAGTATACCTTCATATTATATTCCTCCTCACTTAGTGTACCTGTAATATACTATATTGTATTTTGGTACAAGGTTATTAAGATTGTTCTGTATCCTATATTTTGAACATCTCTTAGGAGATAGCTCAGAGGGTATGGAATTATTCTTATAGAAACCCTGCCTATTTATCAAATCTCAACCCAATTGAAAATGTTTGGCCTTTAGTAAAAGATAAGCTTCACAGGTACTATCTTAAGCTCTGTCTCATGAAGGGTACTGTCAATGAGGTAAAAAAGCAATAGAAGAGGCCATTACTAATTGTTGGAAACTCCATGCCAGTGACTCCAAAGGTTTTAATACTTTAGCAGAATCAATGGTGGATAGAGTGGAAGCAATTATTAGGCCTGGTGAATGGTATACTAAATATTAATTTCTACTATGTATTTACAATTTTTAAATTTTTTTGTGGGGGTTTTCATGATAGTGGAATTGGTAGAGTTGATGGTGTTGTAGTATTGCTATGGCTGCTTGTTGATGCATGGTTAATTTTGTTAACAGACAATACTCTTGAATGGCAGGTTGTGTATTATTATGAAAACAGGTTTACATTAGTGGTATGACAGATTCTTATGTGTGCCTTGCTGAGATATCCTCGGTTCTTTTTTATACTAACTTCAAGCTGAACCAATGATGTTGGCGTCCGGGGCCTGGGAGTTCCAAGTGAGGCAGGAGAGGGACTTCTTAGTTGGGATATGGCACAGAAGCTTAACATCCTCTATTATTTTTATTATTTTTTATTATTACCGTATTGCATTTGGAGGAGTATATTTTAGACTTTTAGGGAGTCTTTCTATAGAGCTGGTATATTTTGTTGAGATATGATTTAAAGAGGGACTTCAACGTTAGGTGTTCAAATGTGTATGGTTATACTATCTTAATAACTTCGTATGAAAATACGATGCGATAGAGAGAGTATATCGCAGGCACGCTAAGTGAGGAGGAGTTTTGTATGAAGGTAGATTGGTAGTAGTTCTTGTTCTTGATTCTCTCAAGTGAGATGGGTGGTAACCCCTATTTATACAGGTGCGTATCCTTCATGTAATTAAGAGAAAATATAAGGGAAAACATAAATATCGACATGTTTGACCGTAATATAAGTAGGAAAAACATAAGTACAAACATGTTTGACCGTAATATAAGTAGGAAAAACATAAGTGCAAACATGTTTGACCCTGAAGAACTGCCAAGGAAATCTCATAAAACATGCATATATCTGAAGTGGTGTGAGCAGATAAAATGTGAGAAATAAACCTGAACACCAGATAAGAAAAGCACGCCATAATCCCCTAATTGTATCATGAAATATTAATTGAAATATACGTCATACATACTCTGCTGTAGTAATGTCCATGGTCTAGCAGAAATACTAAGTAGAGGAATATACGATATTATCAAGGAGAATATACATATGAAATGAATTAGAAAATTCAACATTAGGAAGTATGATATATCCTCTAAAGCCTTACTGAACTTTACTGAGCTCCCCTAACCCCTTCCTCGTTCTCGGGATTGACCTGGAACGTAGAGAGTAATACCTTGTAAACGATCTCGTACGGCAAAACACATCTTGAAGTATAATCTGTAAGAATGGTTTCTGTGTGTCGCTTGTATGATATCTATATAATATGTAGAGTAATATAATATAGGGATATATGCGAGTATAATTTCTAAAAAAGGGGGTGAGAAAGAGGGTGGGATATTCAATCTTTATTTTTTTCCGGTTTATCTTGCAGGAACTATTCCTACCGATAGCATTCGTTCAAAAGGCTTGGAGGGAGAACATTGACCGCACCCGGCTGGGCCAATTGATTTGGGCCGATGGGATGACATAAGCAAACTCTCGTTTGGGCTTGTCGTCTATCGGGGGCGGAGACATAGTGGAAGCTGCATGCGCTTTAGAAAGGTATAAGCAAACTCTGTTAAAATGCTTGTACATTCATAGTTTTGCTCAAATAATATTGTGAGTATGTTACTACACTGTACTCGAGTAGTGCCAATGTTGTGGACAACAGCTGCGGTCCAGTGCTTGCCATGGGCCGGGCCGGCCCGTGGGCTTTTAATGGCCCGTGGGCTGGGCCTGTATGGGCCTTGGTTCTGAAAAGCCCATGGGCTTTGCCTTGGCCTACGGGGCCCATGGGCTTTTT